ATTCTTATCCAAACAACAAGTGGAAAATAGTTTTCTTTCCTCTCACTTTTTTTCTCCCTTTTCTTTCCTCTCAAGAGGAAATATCCAAGCACAAGGTTAGAGAAAGCCTACGGTACCAAAATACATTGCACAATTGGATCAAAAGAACATAGATAAAGTTCTGTAAAAATAATTAATAGTTACAAAGAACCCCAAATAAAGAATTAATAATAATTCTTGCCCAACAAATATGAAACAAAAAAGATGACTAAAAAAAATCAATCAAGAAACACAGGTTTTTTTTTTCATACATAAAGATAGAGAAAAAAGAAGAAGAAGAAGAATTTTAGGATTTGTTTTAATTTTTTTCAGATTTTTTTTAAAAAAAATTAATGTCATATGTAAGTATCCTGTTAGTTTTAAGCCGAAAATTATCATTGTTGCCTAAAGAATTAGATGGAGGGACGAAATTCAGATATAAAGTAAGAATAGAAGGATTTAGTTATTAAAAAATTTAATAAAAAGCTATGATTAAAATAAATAAAATAATAAAAGGACAACCTGTACTTTTAATCCTTTGTTTGTACGCAGGCATGTTTAAGGAAAAGGTAAATTTGATGCAGCCCACCTCATCACCTATCATTACTGGTAAATTCTCTGGTGAATAATGCTAGTTGGCTTGTGATGTGAAGGAGATGTCAGAATCTCAAATGGCAGCACTATTTGTTTTCATTTCTTTCTCATGTGTGATTTGATATGAAAGTTGTAAAACAAGTATACACGAGTGTGGAAATTAACGACAGAAAAGAAAATATCATGTAGCCTAATATTTCCTCTACAAACTTTGCATTTACTTGTGCATGACTTTGTTGGTGGCTTTTCAAGTGACAAGGAAAAATCCAAAGATATTGGTTTTAAAATGCTTTGTGGTAATGACATGCAAGAAATGCTTTGAAATAGTTTAAAGGGGATGCATTAGATTCGATATGGAAAAATGTTTATAACATTTAGTCCGATGCAACTAGTTCAATTCGGCCAAAAACAATACTGGTTGTGTTTAGAGATTTGATTCGTTTTGCTTTGATTTTCTATATTAAGAGAAACTTGAAAACTAATGTTGCTGGTTTGATTTAAATTGGGAATTGATTTTAACATCTAACAAGAATGTTGTTTGCAAAAATCAGTATGAGTTCAATAGTCCATGATGATGGAAGCTCTTGTCGTTGTTGCCGGCCATGGTGGTTTTCAACGACAAGCACAGGGATTACCTGAGTTTCTGATATTTTCTGTGTTACTTTTGCTCAAAGTGTGTCTTTTATTTTGTTTTATTTTTTTCTCTTCCGAATTTATATATAATTTGAAATCATTCAGCGAATTGTAATAAATGTTTTGATGGGCGTTGATGTGGCATGTAGGCCATGTGAGCACCATATGGGATATTAACACCTTGAATTGTGGGAGAGTAAATTATAAATTAGTCCCTTTAGTTTTTTTTAAAAAAATTAATTAATGCTTATTGTTTCAAAAACTAACTATTTACAAAACTAGATGCACTAACTTATTATTTGCTTCTCGAGTAAAAGATATATATATATAAACTTTCAGCATTTTAGCCATTAACCAATTTATTCTTACTATGGTAGTCATCATTTTTGTTTGAGGTGAAAATTTTTGCCATTCAATCATGTATAATATATAATGGAATTGTAAAAGATTTGATTTTTTTTTTCAGAATATAGTTTTTATTTCCACCTAACAGTGCTATTTTTGTTTGAAGTGAAAATTTTTACCATTCAATCATGTATAATATATAATGGAATTGTCAAAGATTTGATTTTTTTTTTTTTTTTTTCGGAACATAGTTTTTATTTCCACCTAATAGTACTATGTTAGCTTGTATATATATATAGTATATATACATACACATTTGTGTTGGTTTGTTCAAATACTAAACTGATCATACAATCTCGAAAAGTATTTTGAGGATGGGATATTTTGCTAGATTTGTTGCTCATAACTAATTTACAACTATAAGATGCGGTGTCTATTGAAGCTGTTAATTATTAAAGGTTAGCACGTTTGTTTCACCAAATTCTGATTTTAGGAATATGTGATTTCTCTTGCAAGCTCTTTGCTTTATGAATCATCAAGGCTATAAAGATCTTTATACCCCTCTGCTTCTTTGTGCCATAATGTTTTTGTTTTTCGAGATGGTACAAATTTTGTATGATGATATTGATTTTAAAGATATACTAGTTAGATACTCGTGCTATGTTATAGTAAGACAACCATTATACATAGGATTAACGATTTGTATTGTATGATGTGAGTAAATGTTTTATTTATGAAGATTATTATAAATTGAATCTATATATTTAGCGAACTTGTTTGATAAATATATTAAAAAATAATTTATAATATTAGTATAAAAATTTATATTTAAATAATAAAGAGGTTCTTTTAGAATAGTGATTAAATTATTTCATTTAAAAATACAGATTTTAGAACATGAAAAAAATAAATAAATAATAATTGATGCTATATGTGCAAATATAATTAATTTCTAACAAAACTATATATATATATATATATAGTACTAAGCATAGTTAGAGTATATAAAATAAATAAATAAAAAATATAAAAAAACCACCTAAATCGAATAGAATATATCAAAGTAAATAGATTTAGATAAAAACTACTATAAAACCGATTTCGATAAATTCTGATTATATATATATAAAACCAAATAAAACCTATAAATTTTTTTAACTAATTATTATTTAAAAAAAAATTGAGCTGAATGTTTTTTAATTGATTATTTTTTAAAAAATTAAGTTAAATTATTTAAAACACATTTTTAGCTCTCTCTCTCCTCATCGAAATATATATATATATATATATATACTTAGAAGACTCGCAGTATATAAAATAAATAAATAAATATATAAAAACCACTTAAATTGCATGGAATATATTGAAGTGAATAGATTTAAATAAAACTATTATAAATATGGTTTTGATTATATATATATATATATATATATAAACTTGTGAATTTTTTAACTAATTATTAATTTTTTTAAAAAAACCAAGCCAAGTTGTTTTTTTAACCGATTATTATTTTTTATAAAAATTAAGTCAAATCATCTAAAACACACTTTTAGCTCCCTTTCTCTCTCTCTCTCTCTCTCTCTCTCTCTCTCTCTCTCACATAAGAATTTATATATGCAACAATACTATTTTTATTGAAAAATCATAAAAATAATCAATCGTATAAATTATAATAATATATTTTAAAAAATAAAATAATCATGTTTTAAAATTTTATTTCAAAAGCCATATATAAAAAAAATTCAAATTTATTGACAAATAAAATTATATAAAATTTAAAAATTAATTCGATGAAAATTTTAATAAAAAATGAAGAAATAAATTTTAAATAATAAAATAATTAATATAATAAGATATATATGTTCAAACTAAAATTTTAAAAAATACAATATATATTCTATTACTGTTAAACTTTATGTAGAACAAAAAAAAAACATTTTTTTTATATATTTTCACACCTAATTTCATGACAAAAAAATAAGAATAAATTATTTATATAGAAGGGGAACAATTATCATTTGAGAACATATAGAACCTAAAAACCAAAAAAAAGAAGAAGAAGAATTATACAATGAAGTTCCAGCAGCCCAACCCTTTGAAAAAAAGAAAAAAAAAGGAGGCTAGACGAAAAAAATAAAGCTAGGCATTGCTACAGTAAATGAACAATGCCAACTTTTTTTTTATAATAACATTTTAGATTTTTTTTTTTTCAATTTGTCATATGGATATGGATTGCAGAAGGGGTTGAAAGTTCACAAATTGTTTTCCTAACTCATAATATATTTTAAAATTGATTTGCTCAATATAATTTTTACTACAAAAACAACAAATTTCAAATACTTATCATTAATAATCAGTTTTGTTTCATTTGTAATTAATTACTTATGCACTTAATTGTGTTCCCAACATTTACTTTGATTAAATATTCAAATCAAACAAAATAATAATAATAATAATAAACTCTATTTATCAAAATAAAAATTTTATGCAATTAATAGTAAAATAATTAAATCATTGTGCAATGGGCTTAAAAATATATATGATGACATGGAGGGAAAAACATTAACTTCAAATATGTATATGCATATGTTGTATTATATAAATTTTTTTAGACAATCATATCTCAAGTTTTTAGTCCATTAATTCAGCACTTCATCAAAAAATAATGTAGATGAAAATCATTTTTTTCATTATATATATATATATATATAATTCTAAATAATTCTAATTTTGCACATCATGTAAAATACATAATATATTTTCAAGCTGTATACAAAACAAAATTAATTTTAGAGAATATATATATATATATATATATATATAAGCATATATATATTAAAAAAAAAACAATTGGAGCCTAGCAGGCTTGGCTAGGGAAGCTTGGCTCAGACCCTCTGGGGGAAAAAAAAGCTCTAAGGGTGTATTTTATATAGTAAATTACAAAGGGACTAAGTAATTTGTCTCTCAGAGAAAGAGGGACCAAGAAGCAAAAAAAATACATGAATAGGGGAGATGAGTCTTAAGCTACGGGAAATTAATAGTGCCACTTGCACTTTTTTTTCTATATATATATATATATATATATAAACATTACAATTACAATATCCTTAAGTTACTAATTATTAAGTATTTTATGATTCAACAAGTATTATTATCTTGAAATGAAAAGAATATTATTCGAACCGTAAGATTACGAATAGTGAAGCATCTTTACTTTTTTCTGTTAGTAAAATTTTATCATACTCCTGTCATTTTTTAACTCAACTAATTTCATCGTAATTATGATAATTATCAATGATCAAGTGTAATTTTCAACGTCTAGGACTTGCTGGAAAAATGGACCATGATTGTGTAGAGGATATGGAAGTCTCGTAATGAATGGATTTCGGTCGAAAAAAACCATGTAGCAGATGTATTGTTGTTCGTGCTATGGAGCTCTTACAAGACTTCCAAAAGGAGAACGCTGCAGTAAATCAGGACAGGCTTTCTCAGAGGAATCAGGTCTGGCTTCCTCCTTCTAACTGTTTCAAGGTCAATACTGATGCTGCCATAATCAGTGAAGACGATGTGGAGCTAGGAGTTATTACTCTGAGATACTCAAGAACAAGTCATGGCAGCTGCATCAAAACGGATTGCTTCCCAACTGGAAGTTAAGGTTGCGGAAGCTCGTGCCCTTCTTTATGGTTATCTTTCGCAAGGGACATCGAGTTACAAGCTGTGGTAATTGAGAATGATAGCTTGGAAGGGATGCTTCAAATCTAATATAGACAGATCGACATGTCTTATTTGGAGATTGTGGTAATGACACTGTCGAATTAGCCTCAATTTTTTGTTGTTTTTTTTTCTTTTCCTTCTGCTGCTTGGATACGTAGAAAGGGGAATAGAGCAGCCAATGAACTAGCAAAGCTCTCTGTTTACTTTATGGAGAGTTTTTGGTCGGAAGAAGCCCTTTCTGATATTGAAAACTTTGTTGCTCTTGGTGTTATTGAAAGAACATCCGTTTGAAAAAAGAAAAAAAAAGAGCTCATTCCCACATATAACCAATGATCAAGTATAAATTCGATAAATAATTACCATATCATATCTGAAAAGAGAAAAAAATATTATTTATTTCATAAGTCATAAAAATGGCAATGGATTAACAAGTACTTCTTTTTCAATATCGTAAACCTCCTCCTATTACTGCATAAAATCGAAGTAACATTATACATCCACGATGTCAAGAGAACCTACCATATTTTCAAATTAAATCTTCGCTAGAATGCCCAAATCCCATGCAATCTTGGCTCGACGTTAAAGGGTCTTGCCCCATAAATGGGACCTCAATCACCGACCCTGATAAAACTTACAGATCAGGCCTGCCAAACAAGAACAGAAGTTCCCTATAAATTGCGTCATAACTTCCCACAGCTACACATGCAAGTTCTTCCGTTCTGAATCAGGTAGCAGATAGATTCATATGCGAAATAAACCAGTATGCTACACGTTGAACAAATTAGTGCAACCAACAATACAAGCACAAGAAAATTTAAATCCAGAGAGGATGAGCAGAAAGTATATCATCATCTAATCGACATTTAAGTTTCATTGGGCTGATGACGATGGGGGTCCTGAGGGTTTAGATCCTTCAGGTTCTCCAGGTCCCGGAGGTGGCGGGCCGGAGGGTGCAGACCCTGCTGGTGCTTCAGATCCCTGAGATGGGGGCCCAGAGGGTGTGGATCCTCCAGGTGCTCGACATCCCTGAGGTGAGGACCCAGAGGGCAGGGACCCTGCAGGTGCTTGGGATGCCTGAGGTTGATGCCCAGAGGGCATTGACCCTGCAGGTGCAGCCCTTGGTGGTGGCACAAGATGCTGATACTGCTGTGCGGATTGCCCAACCTGTGGCAGGGCCACTGGAGTGTGATATGGCGGAGGATACTGCTGATACGGTGGCATTGGTGGCATATAACCATATGGTGGATAATGCTGTTGTTGGTATTGCACATGAGGTGGTGGCATACTTTGATATGGATAGTGCTGCCCTTGCTGCTTCTCCAATCCAGATTTATTCTCACCTGATCCTGTGGGCCCATTAGGAGTGCCATCTTGGGATCCAACAAGAGCACCCATCCTTTGAGGGTCCATTGACGGATAAAATGTTCGTTCTTGCTGAGGCGGTGGAGGAATATTGAAGTAGTGCATGGGAGGATGTTGGTCCTGAGTGCCAGGTGGATGTAATTGGTTGTGTTGCTGAGATATAACTGCCCGAGGCAACATCCCACTATGAGCCATTGTTGCCTGCTGCCTTGCTTCATCAGAACTTTCTGATTCAGGTTTTGGTGCTTGTGGTCTACCCCACATCAACTTCAGCCTCAGACCCTTGATGACTAGCTTGTTAGAGAGCTCCTCTGCAGCCTTCTCTGCTCCTTCTCTGGTTGTGTAGGTTACAAAAGCAATTGCTCTCTGAGGCACCATTTTTATGGATTCAATTTCACCATGGGCATAAAAGTGATCCCTTAGGTCCTGCTCACTGATCCTCGCATCAAGCCCTCCAACATAGAGTGTTTTAATGCTTTCATCCTCCGGGGGTTCTATCGAAGGCATGTCTCCAGCTTTATTGAGTAGTTTCATTGCCACTGGATCATTCACTCTGCAGACATTTAGAAAAACAAGAACAATATTTAGATAAAGTCAAAACTTCTAAAAATCCATGCATCATATGCCTTTGTACTTCGTTTTGGTGGGGATGTACATGTGCATGCATGCAGAATCAGTGTGTGTGGTCTTTGGCACTACAAAAATTGTTTGGACATTCAGACGTTTGAAGTTCTTATGCAATCCAGTTAAAGATATGTCGAAAGCTGCTTTTCTCAAGCAGAGGTGAGGTTTTTGGTTTGATTGTGAGGACCATTACAAGTCATCAGTTAAACTAAGTAAAATTTAAAGCATTTTATCATACATGCTCATATAATTGCCCAAAATACAATAATCAGCCTGAAGGACCACAAACAAAGAAATCAAATTTGAAACTTAAAGCGCATCCAAAAGCGATAATGAAGTTGATGGCAATCGTAAAATATGTTATAAAGCATTATTACCATTTCGTGATCTTAAATAACAATTCAGAAACAGGGGAGAACTAAATGCAAGAGCTGGGCATGCAGGATGAAATAACAACAATCTACTTACCCATAGTAACGATCTTTAATATTTTGCTGTGACAACTCCCCAGTTATGGGCATCTCGTGCCTATAGGGGCACTCGGAACCTCGTGTGCACTCACCACGTACATAGAAACTACAAACATGTGCTCGATTTCTTTTGTAGTATGGTGTTGTTCTTTGAAGCTTCAGAATAGTATCATTTGCTCGCACCTTTCCATATGAAGACTCATAATCAATACCCGCCCTAGCCTGCATCAGCCAAAACCATATCAGTTTCAGCATAAGAGAAAAGCAGAACAGAATTAGTGTAACAGCCTTAAATGCATAATCATGTGGACTACACACTTATTAGGCTATTAGCTAGTTAGAAATTCATAACTACAACAGGAGGGGACAGAACCAAAGGACCTCCTTGGATATTAAATGAAGGATCCAAGGTAACAGATAAAGGTTTTGGTATGTAACTATAATTATAGAATTCCTACTTTCATGCGAATCAAATAACTTGCATTAATAGCAGTTAAATAAAATCCTTTAGATGCATAACTTTCTTTGCACAATAAAACATTATGTAATACGAATCAAGTATTACGTTTATAAGAAAAAACATCAAGTGTGTAATTCACCAAACCAACTGATATTTATTTACAGATAAAAGGCCAGTCAAGTTTCATCCAAAACGTATTAGTCTAATGTGAATCATGGCTTCTAGTTGATATAAAAGACACTCAGTAGTTTGTGGTTGAAAGATTCTTAAATAAAAGTATGAGGACAAATAAAAATGGGAAATTGATTTCTTTCACTACTATCATATGATATATGCAGCAATATGATTCATTAATAAGAAAAAAGAAAGCCCATGAAACAAATGAAAATGCTTCATCCAATTTTTATTTTATTTTTTATAAATGAACAATCTTAACATATTGGGGGGGGGGGGGGGGGGAAGAAAAGAACTGGGCTATGCACAAACAATAGACCACAGCAGGAAATGCAAGGAGCAACACCCAGCACTGGAGAACCCACCCTAGACTCCATCTCAACTGACACCAGGGCAAGTGAACTGGCCCCAGTGCCTGGCAACAGAAGATCCCATCTAGAACATAGCAAAAGATTGATACCCAGCACAAGTTAATTGACAGCCAACCATCTGTCAAAAAGATAAGTTCTGCCTGAAGAACAGAACTACCAGATAAAGACCCCCTGAGCAAGGACTAAAAAACAAAAAAGACCCAAAAACACTATTGTTTTCAGCCAGCACAGGTCATAAGTAGAGAGATCAGTATGGTAAAGGAACAGCCAGAAATTGGCCACATCATGTAACGTGGGACAATGTTCTGGCCGATGCAACAGGCTCTCTTGCCAACTTAATCATTTTAATCAATTGCTAAGAAATGGAAAGACTAACAGAAATGCACACAGTTAAAGCACAAAGAGTCTCGATTATTGTCTAGCAGAATACACAAAGGAATCGATGGCCAAAAACATGCTGCAAATAACTAATAGGAGTTTCATATATAGCACACTGCATCATCAGTAAGTTCTAAAAGCCACAGGTCAAAATCACAGTAAACAATACACTAGAAAGTAAACATTTACTTGGGTATCATCAGCTACCCTGTAATGGTGATGCTCTAACAATCAGAGATTTCTAACACACACAAAATAAACAGCTTTACATTGCAGACAGCCAAAAACCCAGCCAAAACAAACTAGAGTTAAGACATGAAGCAAACATACCCTTCGGTCATGCTCCTCGGCAAAAAACTCCCTATTCACATCACTCTTAGGAATAGCATCATTGGAATTTATACTGAGAGCGGTATCACGAACTTGAACAGGCAAACCATACTCAAGATCCAATAGACAGACTTGACAAACATTTTTCAACTTACTGCAAGTCTGACAAACTTCAGTCTTTTTAAATCTTGCATCCCTACCAGGCCTCCACCTGAAAACTGTAAACGGCCTTGTACATATCTTGCATTCCTTATCGAATTCAGCTCTGGTCTGCATAAAATATAGTACATACAACCACAAAAGAGCAATTTCTATAATTATCCACGCAGCACGGCCAACCCCAGTGAAAAAAAAAAAGAAAAGAAAGAGACCACTTAGAACTAGGGTTAATATTCCTTACCATTCTGACATAAGGATTGTCCCCCAAGCAAGATTCACAGATTATAGGAAAGTCGGACCGTTCCCATCCGTCAGCCTCGGGATCTTTTAACAATCTGTGCGCCATTCCTTCTTTTGTTCTAGGTCAGGTACACACTTCACTGCCCTAATTTCTGCAACGGAGACCGGAAACTGCTGCTCAAACCAATCAAAACATTGCAAATTCAATTCTCTAAAAAGTTCAAAGACAGAGAATACAAATAATTGATTCAAGTTTAACCTAATTATAGAAACTCAAAAGCAATTACAAAACCTTAGATTAACCAAAACTCCTTATGAACCATTAAAAACAGCGTTGCTAGAAAAAAGGAGAATAAAAGGTGAGAAATCTAACCCCACAAAGCTGTATTTCTGGTGTGTTGAAATTTTTCTCTGATAAATAAACGAACTGTTATTATCTTCTTCGCCTTCGCGAATCAGGAAGACAATCGGATTTTAGAATCTAGGTTGTGTAAAATTAAAGAGGAAGAATGGATTAACTCTGGGCTTTTATTCGGATCGATACACGGTGTCGGTCCAGACCAACCGCGTTTAGGCTTGTCTCTGTTTGATTGTTTTAACATGTAAGCCCATGGGCTGAAATACCATGGATTTTTCTAGGTGCTTCTAGATGAGTTGCATAAGCCCAAAAGAAAAGCAATGAAAATAAACAAGACGGTGTGGTGACCTATGGCCGAAATTACATTACAATTACAAAAGACTCTAAACTGTGGACGGTCCTGTTCCCCTCATTTTTTCACTGCTCTCTCCAGGCAACCTCGTATTCCCATTGTCAAAGCCCTCTCCTTTGAAGCTGCCCTCTCTTCTTCCTTTTCTTTTGCTTCTTCTATAACCAACACAGGACTAGCCAAAGAGGATGAAAAAAGGGGAGATGATATCAACATAATACCAATCAAGAGTCATTGCAATTAAAAAGCGTAACTCATTCGTGCCAATGAAAAAATTTAAGTAAAAAATTAGATTCAAATTGCAATCAGATTTTACAGCTTAACGTGCCAACAAACCCAGAAGTCCATTCAAAATCAAACACAGACCATCCAAAAATTCAGTTCACAAATTCTCTGAAAGGAAACCCAGATCAAGAATACTGGACAAATAGGACTAGATAACTATAAAATGAAAAATGAAGACCCTAGAGTCTATCACTTGAATGAACAAATCAATCTAATAAACCTAAATAAATGATGAAGAGAGTCAATTTACATAAGTATTAATAGCAGAGATTACCTATTCAGTTTTTAGAACTCGCGAAGCAACAAGCAGTTTTTTTAGGTTTCATCTACTGTTGGGAAGATGAGTGAGGGAGAAAGCAGTTGCTCTTCAATTTTTTTAGCTGTTCTCTCCTTTGAAGCTGCCTTCTCTTGCTTTTCTTTTGCTTCTTCTACAACCAATAAAAGCCCAGCCAAAGAGAACGAAAAAAAGAAAAGATCGGGATGAGAAACAAAATCACTGGTGGGTTCTAGAACTCCTCTTGCTATCCAGGAGGATTTTCAGCAAAAAAAAAAAAAAGGAAATAAAAAATGGATGAATGAGTATCATAATTCCAAACCGTTCAATGTTGACTGACAAATGACTGGAGAGGAAAAAACAGGGATTTCTTCGTCTCTTCTACTGTAACCACAATCTCAATTTCTATGTACCCGCAACTATTCATTGGGCCTTTTTTTTTTTTCCCTTTTACTCAGTTGCTTTTTTTTTCTGTTGCTTTTGGGCCATTGGATCTTTCGTTTTTGTTCTTAGCCGTTGGATTTGCTCTGTTAGATGAAGATCGTGTCATCTCCATGACCAATGAATGCTTGCCACGTTTTAAATCTTCTCTCAAAAAAATTGTAACCATCAAAACGTAAAGCTCCTCTCTCTCCTTCTCAAAAAAATGGCAGCGGCACTCTGCTCTCCCCTTCTAGAAAAAATAAAGGAAGAAATTTCTGTTGTTATGCATGAGGCTCACAACACCAAGTTAAAACCACTACGTTCCCTATATCTGAGAATGATGACGAGCAAGGTAGTCATGTTCTAGAATCTAGATCAAGTATGCATCTTATGTGATGTCTCTAACAACAAATTTATTTTCTCTGGCAGATACTGATGAGATGAGAAGAAAAACTGATTTGAAAGAGAGCAAGGTAAATTGTACCAAAAAAATCATTTGTAGTTTTTGATGTTAGAGAAAATGTAAAGGATTGAGGTGAGAAAAGAACTACAGCGAATAATGAAGAGGTGGATAAAGCTAATTTTCAATTTTCATCTAGAAAATCAAGAGACAGCCTTGGGAAGAATAGAGTTAGGGAAAGGGAAAGGTCAAGGAATTTGTTAATTTTTTCAATCAAGAAGGTTCAGAAAAACCCAGCTTTGATGTTAATGACTCTTAACATCACCGTTCTAGACAAATGGAAAGAGGCAAATTGAGGACTGAGGATACTATGAATTAGAAAATGCACTCGAATGTGAACAATAAAAACATGCCAGATGTTTCAATCCTGGTACTCAACTGAAAATGATTTTTGCATTTATTTTGTTAGATATTAACGACAGCTCATACAATTTGGTAGTATTTCTTGATGAGAAATTATTTCAACACTTCTTTTGCATCTGAAATTTTTAACTTTTTTTTTTTTTTTTGGTAATCTTCAGGTCGATGAATGTTTTATGCAATCTGAGAAACAACATACTTAGTCAAAGGCAAACAACCTTAAGTCCATGTGCATTTCTTTTGGACGTAAGGATAGCTCAGTTTCAACTACAGGTATTTTGATGTTAATTCTCAACCAGATGACTAATGCGGCTTTGACATATTTGTAGGAAGAGATAAGGTATAATTATGAGATGCATGATGCTATAGGTTATTTTAATTGTTACATGTTAACTGGGAGATTTTGGATACCATTCACCTAGACAAATGATTTTTATGTGCTTTTTAATATCAATGGTGGAGCAGCACGGTATGTTTCATGTTCACCTGAACCATGATTCATATATTCCAATTGTTATGCAATTTCGCTAGAATGAGTTTCTTTTAGCTCTTCATTTAAATCCTTTGCTTTCTTTATTTCTAAAATTTTAAGAGAAAATTACACTAACAAAAAACTATTTTTGAACAGATATTTGACAGTGAGGAACGTTCCTGCTTTGGGATGCAACTATGATTTGTTTTTGCCTCTTATGGAGATGTTGAGGAGTAAATAAAACTCACTTCTCCTCTTCTTCTGTCACTTCTTTTTTTTTTTTTTTGCTTTGATTTTCTTAATTATTGGTTTAAAAAATGGTTGAAGGTGTGAACCAATAGATGCTGAAGATTGTGAGCAATTTACTGATGTTTGCTGGATCAAATTTCGTTGGATCAACAATGCAAGGTCAGTTAATTCATTTATGGTTTTCAACTTCTGGGCTTGCTTCTATCGTTCATTTTTGCTTCTCCAATAATGTTTCATCATGTAACTAATTTTCAAGTTTTCTGAAAGAAAATTGGACGAATCCATTTTCCTAGGGAGCCCTTTGCAAGTCTCCTATGCTCCTCATTTTGAGACCATCTCCAACAAAAAGGATAAGTTAAAAGGCAAAAGGAAGAAAATTTTTGCACGATTGAACCATTAGTTTTTCTTTCTATGAAGAATAGGTTGTTTTTTATTATTGAAATTTGCTTTGTTGTTAAGGATTTTGTATCTCTGTGTATTAAGTCAATCTTTTATGTTTTCAGCTGGAACCAAAGGTCCTAAAGTTCACTAACCTAGCACTACAAGCCAGGTAGCATTGCTTCCATCATCGCAAAAGGTTTAAAATGCAAGTTCTCATCGATTTGAATGTTTAGCTAAATAGGAGAAAAGATTGATGTTTATAGTGGTAAGCGTGACCAAGGTTGTTCAAGCTAGAGCTTTTTCCTTTAGGAGATCTTAGAGTTCTTGCTGGTTGTATATATCTAGAAATTTCAAAGGTAGTGGGTGTTGTTGCCAGTGAGTTTGGTGGCCAGAGTTTGGTGTGGTGAGGTCGGGTGTGGTTGTTATAGTTGGGTGCGCAATGTTGAAGGAATGCTTATGATGTTAGGAGCACAAAAACTATAGTCAAAGGGAGTCACACGTAGAGAGGTGTCAAAGGCAGTCTCACACAGTGAGAAGGACTTTATGCTTTCTTTGAAAAGTTAAGATTTACTTGACCTGATTGTGGTCTGTTGTTTGGAAGTTCTCTTTATCCTTTTAAATGCTCCTTTTCTTCTTTGCATTACCATGTGCGACCAGGCTGCTCAAAGATGTTTGGGTATTGACAAGCTATTTTTAAAATATCATTCATATTTTAGATGTTTCATCTCTAGCATAGCTTGGAAGCTTAGGATTTTAGCATAAAAACATAATTCAATTTTTTTTTCTTGAAGGAACTCTTTAATGTTCAGTTCAGATTCCTGTTAATTTAGGTAGTGAGTGTAGTTTGCTTGCTTCATTTACAATATTGTGAGAATGAAATGATGAAAGCATGCCAATATAACTGTTTAAAATTGATTATTGAAAAGAGATTGGTTATGACTTCAAAGCTGGTAAACAAGAGACAACTTATTATAGAAAATATCAGATTTTATTATGTGTTTCTACAATATAGGTTGATTAGTTAACTTCTGGCCGCATATATTGGATTGAAAAACAGAGAACCAGCTAAATCCATCAACCCCTCAATAGAGAAGTTGAGGGTTCTTACACTAATAAAAGTGAAAACAGCTCTGAAATCAAGTTGGATATCTGAAGGGCACCAATATTAATAGCCATTTATCTAATCATCATCCAACAAACAGACCTCTTTTTCAGTCATCAGCTAAAGATCGTTTAAGAGGAATAATAAATTAAAAGATTTGTGTCTGACTTATATATATATTTTTTCCTTGTGAGTACTAAATAAGATGTATACTTTGCAGGGTTGAATACCGGAATTGAAATTGTATTTGCCCTATGACTGGTTGGAGTGCTAGCATGGGCTAGGAAATGAAAAAGAGATCTTCTCTTCCTTGCATTTATTTCAAGTTGTGCTTTCTTTTCTTCGTTTGAAATCAAGTATCTTTGTGAGAGAGAGAGAGAGAGAGAGAGAGAGAAGGGTAATGCTTGCAAGGGCTTTCTTCGAAGTCCTTATAAGAAGTTTATCCAAAAAGTCAAAAAATCTATAACAAGATATTTCGCTCATCACATCATTCGCGGTTTTTGGGTGTTCCAAACGATGTTTGTTGATAGGGATTATCAGATAGGCTATTCTGTCGGTAATAATTACCACAATAATTCAATTTGATGGGTGGCAAAAAGAATCCCTTATGATTTGTTATAATTCTAAGCTACTTGGTTGGTGCTTGGCTTGTACGAGAGAATCAGAGAGATTGTAAAGCTTTGAACATTCATCTTAACAGGTTTTGCCAGGCATTTAATCGAATTTATTTGAATTTCTTTCCTTTTATTTATTTTGATGGAGGCTTATTTAGTTTGATTTTATTCAAAGTTTAGGATTAGGTTTATGATATTTTTATTTGCCCTCTCTGTTTCTTAAAAATTTTAAAAATTGTTCACGCATTTTATTTTCTTAAGAGTCATTTTTAAACTTTTATTAAAAAAATTATAAATGATTAAAATTTCTTTATTCAAGATTAGGTTAGTAGAAATTATTTTAGTAATTGAGAGAATCAAATAATGGAATCAAGATATTACAGGAACCACAAATGTAATTAACCCCAATTATGGCTTATGTTTTGGAGTTTATAATAGAATCTGAAATGACTCTGTTCAACTGGACAAAGGTCACCCAAACCAAAGGAATTGATGGAAGCGATGCTCTAGGCTATGACCATGATAACTAATGTGACGTTGTTGCAATATCAGAACCATACTTAACTCATTGATCTATATTGAAAGTAATTTTCCATTAAATTTTGCTTTTGCCAATAAAGCATATAAGGGTTTTTTTTTTTTTTCAAAACATAGTTAAAGGAAATAACTCCAGTACTTTGAAGTACTCGGCATTTTATATTCGATTCATTTAAATTATGACATACTCCATGTTAATTAACAATCACTTTGAATTTGATATGATTTTTTTTCTATTTTTTATGTATTATTTTTTATTTCTATGTATCACTTAAATCATATCAAATTCAAAGAGATTTTTAATTAACATTTATGACTTAATTTAAATAAATAAAATACAAAATAATAGATATTATTGACGTGAAAAAAAAAAAGAACACAAAAGATTATAAAACTATATAAATGAAGTGAGGTTGCTCCATTCATCTCCTAATAAAAAAAAATAAGATAAAAGTTGAAAATATAAGAAAAGAAGGGGTATAATTTGATTTCTGTCGAATTTGTCATAATATATTTTTAGATTTTAGTTGAGAAGTCATTAACTATCACTTTTTTTACTAACCAAAAAAATATCTATAACCTTTTCCCCTATGATCTCATCGATGATTGTTGCTTAAATTAGCGCTAATAAAAAGAGAGAGAAAAACAAGGTAGCCTAATAAAATAAGATCATATAATTAACAAGAAACTATATGACTGATTGATGATTATTAGAGTGAATCATTCGCTTAACTCGCTTCCTTTTTCTTTATTAGTTTAATATAATTCATGTAATGAGGATGAAAACTCGAATGATTGGTTAGGTGGATCATGATAAATCCCATACCAAATTATTTTAAAAAAATTCTATGATTTCTACAATATTTTTTTATTGTATCAAGCCTTATCAAAATTTGTTGACTTCAAATTACTAAGAAGTTTTGTGGAATCCCATATTGCATGCAAATTCCTATGGTTCAAATAGATTATTTTAGTGCACAAGAATATATGACATGACAGAGATTAAATAAAGATGATGATGATGTTTATTGTTATTTATTTGTTTTGTTTTTACAATAGATAGAATAATTATTTATAAAGGATTTATAGTAATGAACAATTTATTCTTTTAAATGCACCTCTAGGATTCATGTTTAAAAATCTAATAATCTAATGTAAATAAAATTTAATCTTGATTGATGCACAAACAAATTTGAGAATACTTTTAAAATGAAAGGTAATTAAAATTTGTGTTTATTCTCGAGTTATTGCAATAACAATTTCTCATGGTGCAACGGCTATCTTATATATATATATATATATATATATATCACCATGCATTTATACACATAAAACCAGCCATTTGCTATTAATTTTTTTAATATTTTTTCAAATAAAATAATTGAAATAATATTTTAGAAGAACCACCTAATAATTCAAATACATATTTTCATACTAATATTATTGATTATTCTATAAATAAGTATATGTAAATTAAAACATATTTTAAAAAAGTAAAAAAAAATTGTTAGTTTTTATTCAAGTTTTAATATTAATTGTTGTTTTATTTCTTTAATGCAATCTTATAAAAAACATCAAGATATTTAAAAAGAACTTATTAGATTTTCTATTTACATCATTATAGATTTTAATTTAAAAATGAATGCATAATGAATATTAATCGTGTTTTTTTAACAACAAAGTTTATGAAAAAAATCAAGAAAAATAAATAAAACATATAATTTTAAAGAAAAACAATAACTTTAGATTAAAAAAAATATTTAATTTAATATATTTTAGTTGATACTCCTTATAATATATGCTATTAAGTCGAAATAAACATGTTAATTACTCGCAGCAAAGCACGGGCCAAAAACTAGTAAAATCTAGACTACCATCCCGATTGTTACGCGCCTGGATACTTCCACGCCGTAAGTTCGTCCCACACGATTTATCCTTGCTATGAGCTACTTTGAAAGAATTATAACAGAAGAAGTTTGTAAGAAAAGTTAGGAAATTATTCATATCCCTTATTCACTTGTATGGGTCCCTAATATAGGACTTATTACAACGATAATTGACAATAAAATATGAGAATCAAAGGAAAATCAAATCCTACCATAGACTAAAGTTTGAAATATCTTAGAGGAAGAAAATAACAACCAGAGATTGAGCTATTATAGAGGATGACAATAACGGGAACTTGAGACAGGTTAGGAGATGAATTCTTGTAGGCTAGGACTTGGGCTTGGTCTTAAGCTTCGTAGAAGGCTTGCAGTGGGCCTGGACCATAACAGCTTCCTCCCACCCTAAAAAAAAACACTCCTTGGCCGCATAGAGGGAAGAAATTTGAAAATTCTTGAAGAAAAGAAACTCGACTGACCCAGACTGCTTCAGAAACATCAGTGTCTTGCCATTGAACTTAAAATTCTTGATTCCTACCCCGCCCACGTGCCCTAAGGATTATTGATAGAGTCTCGATGAGTGTAGCTTCGTCCCCATAAAATTCTGTCAGCTGAACAAAGGTTTGGTCCAAGCCACCCAATTTTTTCTTCAATACTGACACATGATTGAATCTACTAGAAGGAGGCGGTTCTAGCTTATAGACTACTGGTCCAATCTTGGCTGCCGCTTTGAAAGATCCATAGAAATGAGCTATAAGTTTTTGAGATGATCGAGCAGCAACTATGGACTATCTATATGACTTTAGTTTCAAATAGACCCAATCTCCCAACTGAAATTCTCTTTCCATATGGTGTCGATCATATACATGTTTCATCCTATTATATGCCCCCAAAAGACCTAAACAAAGCTCCTTAAAAACCTTATCTCATTGAAGCAAGGATTCCTATACGACTTGGACTTTGGTCATACTTGGAACAGAAGAGAGTAGTGTTAGAGGGAGCTGACCATAGATTTCCTTAAGGAGGCGGTTGATGCTAAAGTAAGCAATTAAGGCACTAATTTTGCATAAAAATGGCTATAATTCTTATACTAGAGGCATCATACCCTACCATGCATGAATAAAAGGGGAAATTTTGGAAGGGCCAGTACTAGTGCTTGAGTCATGGCTGTCTTGAGCTACCTAAATGCATAATCTGTTTTTTTACCCTAAGAAAAAGCATTTTTCTTGAGCAGATTAGTTGGAGGTCATACAATTACCCCACCTCCGACCGATCACCGATAATAACCTATCGAGCCTAAAAATCCTTAAAGCTCCTTAGTAGTCCGTGGTTTAGCCTAACTAGTCATAACTTTAATCTTTTCTAGGTCGACCATCGCACCTTGTTCGTTGATGAAGTGTCCTAATACCTGCTTTTGAGCAAACTAACATTTTTCATTTTGACTACCAACTCGTTATTTCTCAAAATTAAAAAACCATCCTCACATGATACAAATGTTCCTCTCTACTCTCACTATAAATTAAAATGTCATTAGAAAATACTAAAATAAATTTTCTTAATTATTACCAAAAGAAGTCATTCATCAAAGCTTATAAGATAGAAGGAGCATTTAAAAGGCCGAAAGATATTACTAAAAACTCAGTGGCCATGATATATGTGAAAAGTCATTTTTATAATATCTCGCAAGATGAATTCCGATCTAATGGTACCATTAAATTGATACTTTTTTTTTTTTTACAACTAGCTTGTTATTTTTCAAAATTTAAAAAACCATCCTCACATAATATAAATGTTCATTTCTCGCTCTTACTCTAAATTAAAATATCATCAAAAAATACTAAAATAAATTTCTTCAATTATTGCTGAAAGAGGTCATTCATCAAAACCTAAAAAGTAGAAGGAGCATTTGAAAGGTCGGAAGGCATTATAAAAAATTCGTAGTGGTCATGATGTGTGCGAAAAATCATTTTTGTAATATCCGTAGGATGCATTCTAATCTAATGATACCTAGATCAAAGATCCAGTTTAGTGAACCATTTTGCCCCTTCGATTCATCTAACAATTCTTTATTAACGGGTATGAGAAATTTGTCTTTGATAGAGATCCAATTTGGTGCCCCGTAATCGACACAAAATCAGCAACACCGGAGAGGAAAAACTACTTTTACTAGGTCAAATAAGATATTGAGTGAGCACCTCTGCCACTATTCTTTCTATTTCACTATTTTAGAAGTAGGGATATCGAAATGGTCCGACACACGCCGGTTTGTTGCCCACCTCTACTACAAGTTCATGATCATGAGTTCGGCTTGGAGGTAGATCGTCTAACCTATAAAAAACCTCAAGAAATTTATGTTGGATGTCTTATTAATCCTCTAACTTTATGAAATGTTGATTTATAATCAATTATATCTACATCAAAGCTCCCTTGATTGTGTCTCCTATGGGGCTCTACTTAGTGGTTTTTCTCGAACTAATTTAGCTTTAAGGTTTTTATGTCCCCATAGTGCAATCACCCTCGAACCTACCTTAAACTTCATTTCCATATTTCTAAAATTCTAGAAAATAGGACCCAAATTTTGGAGCCATTATGCCTCAAGTATAGCATCACATCTTTCTAAAGGCGAAGCAAAAAATCAACTTCGAATAGAGAATTAAGAAGAATCAAAGGTACTTGCCTACAAAAACCAATACGGTCCAGCTTGTTCTCATTAGCTATCATTATTTTCATAGGTGGATAACTCACGTAATTGAACCAATACTTAGCTTAATTAGAAGGTCGACGAGTCACGTAATTCATCCGTGCAAGAAATTATGTGTTAAACCCGAATCTATAAAAGCCGTGATGGTCCTCTCTCTTATTCTATCTCTTACTCTTATTGTTTAATGAATGAGCATCCCGGTGAGAGCATGAAGAGAAATACCTAAAGGCTCGGTTTCCTTAGTGGCTGAATCTTTAAGGAGAAGTTCAAAATTTGACTCTAGTTCTTGCTCTAGCTCAATAAAAAAGTTTCTTGCACACATGTCATGTCTTGTGTCGCTCATCACAGATGGAAGCACAATATTTCTTAATGTCTCTACTCGAATCTTCATGAGTGTGAATCCGTAAAT